GATGGGACGCCAGTCTATTACCTGTATAGTGGACGCTCCCCGACATTAAACATTAGTATTAATTGAATTGTGATGTGTCATTCTTTAATAAATAAAGAATTATTAGTATTGGCTGCTGTATGAGAGGAAACACTTCAGGATGTGCTTTTATGGCAAAATGATGAACTTAATTGTTGATTATTTTTCTACCAGCACATGCCATTGTATTACATTCTTCTCTTAATATATGGAGAATGTAAAAACTGTTATTAAGATAGAGTGTACAGAAGTTTTTGCACCCATCAGAGGAACAAGAACACATCCCCTTTTATAATTGGATTTGTAATATATAGCTTTATATCAGCAGGTTAAAGAGGCCACACCACAAAAACACAGGAGATCATGCGCTGTGAAACACAGGCCTCTGCACAGGGTAGAGTTTCAGTGTGTTGAATTTTTAACCATTATACTCAGGTTGCATTTCTTTCTGTCTCAGGGAAGAAATATAACAACCAGAGGATGAGAGCTGATATACTGTTTACTGTGAGTCCACTCAGTCCAGTGTTATATACTTAAGGACTTTGCTGTCTTAATTGTCTGATGATACAGCAGTTCTGGCCTGGCATCCTCATTACTGTCATGTGCTAGACTGTGTCTGTGGTTTATTTTATTTGTCAGATAACTATGACAACTATGTTGAATGAGCGAAAAAAGGGTTGTTATCATCATTGTGGTTAGATTTAAATAAAAAGGGGAACTGTATCAGCAGTGACCAGAGTTTCCACCAGACGTCAGTCAGCTAAAGCTCTGTTTTCTCCAGTGAAAGAAGGAAATGTCAGAAGTAAATATTGGGTGGCCACACAAACTTATCTGCTGCGGTTTGACCATGACAGTGTGTCAGCGTGAGGGCTCTGTGTGCCTTCTGTTCTGTGTAGTAAATATATAATACACTGAATTAATAACTTGCTTTAATTTAAAACTAGAAAAAAGTCCTGTCATAACTTATTTTGTCATATCATTTGAGTTCCATAGTTCAATTTACAATGCATGTGGCTTCCATGTCAGCTGTATGACCAGTCTGTGTGTGTGTGTGTATGTGTGTCTGTGTGTGTGTGCAGGTGGAGGAGGGAAGCCGAGCTGCGTTGGCCCAGCTCCAGGTCGGTGATGAGATTGTCAGTATTAACACAGTTCCTCTGAGCGGCTACAGACAGGAGGCTATTTGCCTGGTGAAGAGCTCCTTCAAAACTCTGGCGTTGGTGTTGAAACGGTAGGCCTTGAGCCTTAAACACTATGACACTGTGCGGTTGGGTCTTGTGCACATTCATACACTCTCATCTACTGATGTTTACAGTGTAGCTATGGGTTAACTTAGGACTTTGGATGTGGAGAAGCCCTCCTTTTTAATGGGTGCCAAATGTTCTTGTTGTATGGAGTCAATTATGGCTTTATAGAAATATGATTAAAGCAATAAAAATAATATTGCAAACCATGATATGTTACTGTTATTGAACAGCACAGTCTTGATTTTGATTGCCTAGAAAGCGTTGATTAATTTTCTGTAACAGCAGCTCTGACAGTCTGTAATTGAAATCGCAATTTCTATCAGTGTACGCTTTCTGTTATCAATTCTGTAGTAACGACTTACATGAGGACTTTTAATGTGTACACTCCACATAAATGGATTTTAAAATGTGTATATTTAGGTTAGGTTCAATATTTAGGTTGTCAGAGGCAACAAAATGCAGTATTTTCAATTATCCCAGGATTAGGATGTTAGGAAGCTGGGGCCAGCCATGATACAGCACCTCTGGAGCAGATATGGTTTGCAGTTACTCTAAAACAAGACAAGCTGCGTTTTTTTTTTTTTGTTGGTCTTATTAACTTCAAGAGAGCGAAAAAAAGAGAGGATGGTGAGGGAATACTGTTTATAGCTGCTATAATGTGAATGATAACAGGAACTAACTTGTTTCGTGGATGCTCCTCATTAAAAATAACCATAAATGGATAAAAGGTGAGATAAAACAAATTGCTGTTCTATAAGAGGAATAAAACACTTCAGAACATGTGGTTATTGGAACCCATCAGGATGTTACACCACCCGGATGTTGATTATGTTCCTATAATAGCATGTCCTGTCATGTTTTATTCCTTACATATCCAATGGCAAGCCCTGTCACAATCTTTTCACTTCCTTTTCTTGTTCAACAAGCTGTATGATTTTTCCCCCCCTTTGTTTAAAGTGTAAATTATGACATTAGAAAGCACAAAGAGTTCTTCCATTCATTATTCCTGTTCTCTCCTGAATAGTTATTACTCTGAGATTCTGAGTTTTTCCAGGACACAATCTAAGCTGAGGTTAAAAAGCAGGCTGTTTTGGTGAAAACTGATCATTAGTGAGCCGCTGTGGACCAGAAGATTTTGTGTTTATCCAATGCAATATGGAGTCTGTATTTAAATAGTATGTGTGAACACCATTATGTGCTTCTACATTGCTATTACATCCCAAAATGAAAGGGGATCGTAACTGTGTTTTTAAAGAAACATTTATTTTAAAAAAGCTAGTCTGATGCTGAGACCTCAGAATGGAAAACTAGTACTTGGTTTATAAAAAGCAGTGTAACCCTTATGTTGTTTAGATCAGGAGTTAAAGCTACAGTGATGGAGGCAGGAGGTTTTATGTGTTTTATATATTGTTCAGAATTTCAGAATGAATTTACATTATGCTTAAGCCAAGAGCATACAGGTGAATAGTAAACTTTGCTGATATTCTTTTTATATAGGAACGTTTTCTGCATACAATTTCTTACTTAATAAAACCAAAAATCTAGTCGTTAGAATTAAATTATTTATTTCATTGTGAAGACACAGTGAAATAGATATTTTCAGACTGTTTTAATCAAGAAGATACCATGCACTGTTACAAAACAATTTATGCAATTTTCAGCATGAAATCTAATGTAAATTGTATTTTAACAGTTTTTACTCTTCTGGACGTCTAAGATCCAAACTTGTCATGGCTATCATGAGTATTTAGTACATGCCAAAACTTCATTTTACATATATTGTAAATTAGTTTCTACAACTATGAATGTGAAATGTGAATGTGGTCGCAACACAACCACTAACTGTGTGCTCAGTTTACAAATTTGCATCTTTAATTAGGAGCTTAGTAATTCAGTCGAAAAAAGGAAAAAGAGAAAAAAATCTTCTTTTCTCTAATCTTTTTCTTTTCATTAGTCAGAGATTATTTGTGGATTTAGCATTTCAGTCCATATAATTACTGTAACACATCTTTCTTGACTATTGCTCTTTCTTGTGTTCCTGTCTACTGCGATTTTTCTTGTCTTCCTGTTATTTTAGACTGAGACAATCTTCAGAATTGTTGTTTTTGAATTCCTGTAGAATTGGTCTCAGTCTGTTCATTTCAGCACTGTCTTAAACGTCTTTTCTGCCGATGTATGAGACTGCCAGTTCTGGTTGTACGCTCAGGCTGGAGAAAATGTCTGGTCAGTGCCTCTACGTAGTGGATTATAACGTTATATAGCAAAGTGGAACAAAGGGGTCCTCATTATTCTGGTAGAGTGTATTCCATTACACAAAACAGGCCTGATAGGCTGCCATTGTCCACCACTGCCATGGCTTAGTCTCGCTGGGCTTTGTGTGAAGCTTCAGGGTCCTAGAGCCAGCATGAGGCTGAAGACATCCGTGGTCCTGTGAGAAACCTGGCTTTTGTTACGGAAACACCAGCAGTCTAATAAGAAGCTAATGACTATATTGTAATAAAAAAAAGGTGTTATGTGCAGCTTGAGGCCTGAGACAAGAAGTTATGTATTGAACAGAACATGGAAGGTTAATAACTGTAGCAGTGTGTAGTTAAATTAATTTAAGTTTATTTTGTCATTACCAGACCTGCTCTTCAGTTAATTATTGTAATATTATACAGCACCATTAGGAATATTTTTGTTCTTAGTGTCTCATAGTGACCACCATAGCATGTTTACTTCAGCATAATTACTGGTAACTTGATGACCAGTGTTACAGTGCATAGGATACTTGATATACAAGCCTGGAGACAAAGATTCCCATCATTCACAAGCCTTTTGTTACTGGTTGGTTTGAGCCATCTAGTGGTAAAAATGCTGAACTCTGCGAATTCAGAGGATGAAGGATGGACCACTGAGGAGTGTAATGTTTATTGCTAAGGTTAATGGTGGAATTTACTTACATGTAATTGGCTAATTAGTCATAATCGACCCCTATAATGATTGTGTCCTTAATGAAAACCAGCAAAAATTAATATATATTTATATTTTTGACCATGTTTAATATATTTTTAAATGATTTTAATAAGCAGAATTAATATTTGTTGCAGTGTCTACACTAAATGGTCAAAGGTTTGTGGACACCTGACCATCGCACCTATATGTGTTAGTTGAACATCTTATTCCAGATTTAGTCCCCCTTTGCTGTTATAATAAGCTCCATTCTGGGAAGGCTTTCCACTAAATTTTGGAGCATTCTGGAGCATTTTTATTGCCCATTCAGCCATAAGAGCATTAATGGGGTCAGGCACTGATGTCGGCTGAGGAGGCCTTGGGTGTAGTCGGCATTCCAGTCTATCACAAAGATGTTCAGTTGGGCTGAGGTCAGGGCTCTGTCCAGGCCACTTCAGTTCTTCAAGTCCAATATTGGCAAATCATGTCTTTATGGAGCTTGCTTTGTGCACAGGTGCATTGTCATGCTGGAACATGTTTGGGCCCCTTAGTTCCAGAGAAGGGAAACTGTGATGCTGCAGCATACAAAGACATCCTAAACAGTTGTGAACTTGCAACTTTGTGACAACAGGTTGGGGAAGAACCGCATATGGGGTGTGATGGTCAGTTGTCCACAAAACTGTGGCTGTATAGTGTAATCAAAGTTAGAAACACTTGTAGAGGGTATTGGGCACTCTTCCATACAGGACATTTGAACTGTTTTATATCTGAATGTCCTTTATATTCTTAGTTGTGGATCAAGAGCCCAGCAGTAGCTGGGATTTGAACTCATGTCCATCCATTCAGTAGTCAAACAGCTTAACCACTCAGCTACCACTGGTTACTAGCTGTGAGGTGGTTCTGTGCATGTTTTCCTATGTCTGTGTTTGTTTTCTTCAGGTTCTCCAGTTTCCAGTTGGTAGCTTATTGGCTAACATATATTACCCCTGGGTGGGCATGGTGTCCTGCCATGGACTGGTGTCCTAGCCAGGGTGTATTTCTGCCTTACTCCCAGTGTTTCCGGGATACATCGTGACCCTGACCAGGATAAAGTACTTAACAGTAACAGTTGCTCAAGCTCAGGATTGAACCGGGGAACCTACGGTTGTCAGGTGGTAACACTATTCACTGTGCCACCATTCCATTAGCACATTCAAAAAACTCATTCAAATATTGTTCCTTGACTTTGCACATAATGTTACTCATTATGTTTGTTACTAAATATTACTCAATTATAGTAACACATAGGTAACACATCCACCTCCCGCACACACAGTTTATCTGATTGCACATTTAAATTATCCACTTTATATAGGATCTAAGAGTATTACCATTTCAGATTACGTTATACCAATATCAATATATGGCTACACTTCTTTTTCAGACAGAAATATACTTTAAACCTGACATAAAAATGACACTACAACAATAAAATATATCCAACTATTAGGCTTTGCCATAATTTACTATACTTATTAACTTATTACACAGAGAGGTTCATGCTTTGAGTGATCTGTCTACTCATGCCTTTGCTCAGAATCCAATTACAACCTGCAAAGCTGGACGAGCCTCTGCGTGGGGGAAATCAGTGAAATTTCACATCTCAGGGAGTAACCTGACGCTGTGTATTCTTTAAGAATAATATTATTCTCTCTATATCCTGTGAAGAAATCATGACAAGCATTTCCCCCCTTAAAACTGCAGTAGTGTGAATCGAATAGGACTGTTATTTACTAACCCCCCGTGTATTAGAGAAATGGTTGGTGCCATTGCCTAGGTGAGTGTAGTGGGCCCACAGGATTGGCTGTTATGTGTGAGCCCATTGTTTTGGTGGGGATTTTTGGGAACAGAGTAATCCAGTAAAGGGCAGTAACTTCTTTAAAGCACTTCTCTATGTACATTAAAGCCAACTCGTTTGGAGGAATTGATTGACTCATTCAACTGAGCAGGTATTTTATCACATTGATTGCATATTTAATGTAATAGTAATGTCTTGGGGAAAAAGTATCTTTTATAATAATAGGCAAGCATAATATATCTGTGCATTACTTTTAAATATTTAGAATATATTTTTGCACATGAAAAATGGAGAACCTTTCAGTCAGTTTGAGGTTGTTTAAGGTTGTTTAATGTATAGGATATGACATCAAGTCAAGTCAAGTCAAGTGGAGTTTATTGTCATTTCAACCATATACAAGTACATAGTGAAACGAAACAACGTTTCTCCAGGACCATGGTGATACATGACATGTTATAGTCAAAATTTAAGGGCTGTGAATGATTATCATCGCAATGATGGCACTGTGTATGAACTGTAAAATGATATTTACAGCATGGACAACACAGAAAGGAAAATGACTGTGTATGTAAACACCTCAAGGACCACCCAATTACTGGACACCTCAACTATAACATGCACTTAATTTTTTTTTTTTTTTTACACAAATCATAGCTAAAATGATAGATCTCTAATAGTCTAGTACATAACATTTAAATGAGCCATCATGTTTTTGTTGTTCCTCTTGGGCTGTCCTTAGATGCTCTGGCACCTGTCACATCACGAGAGAAGTAGTTGAGATCTGTCCTCACAGGATTTGAGATGCCGCCACATTCACATGTTACAGTAGAACATTTTCCCCACCATTTCCCCCACCATTTTAAGTAGAATAAGCCTCAATAATGCCCTGTATGTTATCTAAGAAATATAATTTGACTTACTGAGTGATTCTGTCTGAAACACATTTACATTTTTCTCTGCTAATGGACCATGTGTTGTTTAACCTCCATAAGCTGTGTAGAAAAGACAAAATATGAAGGAGACTCTGAACTACACACTTTCCTCCAAAACTAAGAGAGGGACACAACCTTAGAGACATTCTTTCTTGTTCTTGTTTCTGCTCTTTCTGCATCTCTTTTATCCTCATATATGCTTGGGGTGGGAAGACCTGTGCTAATCTGCTACTTTAGGTGACAACTCAGTCCTCGCATACACTCCTCCACAGTCCCAGGTAAACATTGTGATCCTAAAGTTTACCAGAATGAAGTCTAGGCCTTCAGCAATTCAGATATCCTAGGCTAGTTTCTCCAAAATTATTATATGGACAACTTCAACACTGATATCAGGGAAATGTTATTTTCTGGTAGGTCATATACTAGCTTAACTACAGCTTGGTCAACAGACAGCAATGGCTGATCGTGATATCAGATGGAAGGGCTAAAATCTAGTACCTGTCAAGGATTGAGCAACTATTGCGCATGCAGAAAAGATACACTTTCATTCAAACCAAAATGCTAAAGTTATGGTTCTGTCATATGTCCTTTGGCATAATTTGTACTTTTATTGGACTGTATTTCACATGCAGCTTCTCAATAACTGCTGATGTCTTGTTAGAGATGTGTCACTGAAGTCAGCTGTAAAATATCAGCCCAAATGGAGATCAACACTAGGGGGTGTGTCACACTGTGTAATCACCAGACACGACTGTCACTGATAGGCTGCATGAATTTACATTCTGGGCTAGAAAGAAATCAGCCCCAGTCTCACTTCTTCAGACTATTCTGTGTATTATTCTCACAAACATTGCTGGTGCTCTTGTGCTTGGTTAGACTAAAGTAAAAAATAATCAGTTTTAAGACATTTGTTAACATTCTGTCATGGATACCAGAAATGATGTCTTTTTAAAGACTTAGAGGCTTAGCCCTAATAGTCTGTTTATACCAATCACCCCTGTGAACAGACCTTAAATTTTCAGCATTTTTATCAGTTTTGCCATTAAAATGATATGAAAATATAAATGTGCGTTGTGAACATATTGCTTTTATTATCACAAATTTATCACTATTATGCCCTCCCCTTAATTTAACCCCTGCTTATAAGCATGGGGACTGAGACTATTGAGCGGTTAAGATGGGCAGTTGAAAGTCACTTAGAGATACAAGTACAAGTTAAAAGAAATATCTGATATTGAGAAGTGAGCATGTGCTGTGGGGTCAGCCAGGATTTGATGTGCCCTCTCACCAGTAAGCCTTGTTGTGATTATGCTAGCATTTTTTTGTCTGCTGTCTGTGTGGTTCTATTCAGCAATTTGTCCAGGCTCATGTCTGCTCTGCATCCCACACATAGGCTGCTGAGGCTGCCAAATAACTAAACGATGACTCAGGTAATTTAACCAGCCACAGTGATATCCGAAGGGTTTTCCCAGACCTCAACACTGTTTTTACAGATGTGTCCTTGTGTACCCCTGTAGGTAGCCTACTAATTAATTAATTAATTAATGACTTTTTGTTAGTTGTAACACTCAAAAGACCAACATGTGTAGCTCCACCATTGTTTATAAGCCATTAGCCAGTCAGAGAAGCAGATTATAGCACTTGTTGTGACTGGACACCCTCTGTTGCTAGAGCTAAATCTCTAGCATAATCCCCCTATTGACCAGGACACACACACACACACACACACACACACACACACACACACACACACACACACACACACACACACAGTTTGTGGATGGTATAGGGGTGTGATTCTCCTAGTATGGAGCTTTGCTTTGTGTGTGTGTGTGTGTGTGTTTGTGTGTGTGTGTGTGTGTGAGAGAGAGTGTGTGTGAGTGTGGGAGGGAGCAGGGGGTAGGGGTTGACTGTCTACTGGTCAGCCTACATTTGACTTGACTTATTGTTCTGAGTGTTAGGAGTTGCTGGTGGGAATGCTTTAAGATTCTCAGCTCCAGAAGGATCTGGTATTCATGTGAATCTTTTAAAGCACTGGATAGAAGTAAAGCACAAATTTACTTTCTTCCAGAGCTAAATGAGAACATCTTTATTTGCAGAATTGGGAAATGAAGGAATAGGAATATTTCTCATGCAATAGTTATTTGGTAAGTGGAATTTTTTTGTAATTAATTAACAGTCCTTAGACTTTGGTCTTGATGTAGGTACTCGGTATAATCATGTCTGTTGTTTTCCAGAGTTTCTGCTGCTGTAAATTTTTTTTATGTTACTTCATGTTTGGGATGTATTCTAATACATCAAAGCTGTATCTGTTCAGATAAATCAGGTCTTATATAGGTCTTGTCATGTGACAGAAATATGACCATTTTCGGAAGACTTTTAGGTGTGTAATTTTTCCCCTTCTTTCCTTTACCTTCTCATCTTTATAATTTTTTTTGGTGACAGATTACCAGTTGTATTCAGCAGTCACCTAAAAACAAAACTAGCATAGAGACCTACGTCTTTTTCACTTTTCACATTGTCTAGATTACTGGCAATGTACAACTGTCTATTTGATATTGATTGAAAACTCAGCCTATACCATTTAAAACTAGAGATTCCCAGCAATCAAGTGGCGAAGAACTGTGCTTTTTTTTGATTCATGGCCTGTTGTTGTGCAGGAACACCTGCAAACAAGGAGCTGTGCTTGTATAAAAAAAGATTTTTAGCCATTTAGGTCATCACAAGACATGTGTTTTTGTGTTGCTCTCAGTGCAAGCACTCGCACCACAAAGCTGAGCTAATAACAGTTTTATATATCAATAAGGCATTCTGCCTTTCCCCACAATCACAAAACTTGAAACAGGAAGTAACGTGACAAGATGGACTAGTCACATTGCTCGACACACAGTGCCAAGAGTTGATAGCTTTCACACCTGATGTGATGGTGGACTGTACCATGGTTTGGTAGAAGTTGGTTCACTTCACCAAATATACCAGAAATCCTGGGGCAAATGGCCCTGAGTCTGGAAAAAAATAGTGATGTAAATACTGCATTAAGGAATTCAATTAAAAACAAAGTGCTCCCAGATGATTTGAACATTGACAGTCAAAATGTTTCAATGCCCTTGT